CTTGGCTTTACCCAGCTGGAGACATCGCCTCCGCTAAGATCTAGTGGTTCTGCCGATCACTCCCCGTCGAGTTTCCCGGCCCTTTTCAGGGCAGGAAACTTTCTACTACTGCACAGGGTCCTGTTATTCGGGGCTCCACGGTGCCCAACCCGACTACCGGTCCCATCACTCTGGTGGGGTTTGCACAATGAAGTCATTACCGATCACTCGGATTCCGCTTGCGTTCTCATTACCGAGACCTCCTCGTCCTCAGGATTATCCGGTTGGGTATGATGCAAAATATGTTTTACGGGCCTTTTCTTGGGAGGCTGCGCAGGCCCCAATATGATGAACATGATCACTAAAAGCACTAAAAGTTGGACGACCTTAACGCTAGGGTTAGTTGGCCCTTGTTTTCTATGGGATGATATCGGCATGATACCTCATTCGATACAGCCCAGCAAGCAGAGCACCGTCCTCGGATTCAGTTACGCTCGCTTGCACCAACCCATTCGAGCGTTATAGGCAGCCCGTGAAGCTGCAATCTACCGTACTCCATGTTTGAACCTCTCGGCTCTACGGGTACTCTACTACCGGCATTGGCCTATCCCGCTGGAATCGGCCATTACTGTGGAATCACGAAAAATTGAACCATGCGTTACAGTAAGTCGTTTGAATCGCCCCCTTTGGAAAGGTCTAGGTTTTCCTTTGTTTTTCGTTCTTCGGAAAGGCTGAACGCTCACATTTTGAAAGGGTTTCTCGCCCTCCCTCTCCGGAGAAGGAAGTTTTGGACTACTAGTGAACTACCGGCACCCATAATAAAAGAACACGGCTCAGCTACTCGAGATTCTGCACAGTGACCTGCCTGGCAAACTCCAGGACACGTTCTCCAACCCTCTGAGGTACAACACGAATACGGATAACAGTGCGCCAACGCTGTCGATACTGTAGAACCTACACAATGCGGTCAAATCACATCGGCACGGCGCAAGCTGTGATTTACCAGTCGTTCGTGGAAGAGGTTCATCCCGGTTCCTCGCCTTGCGGCACTGCATCTCAGACCGCGCCCTCACATTGCATCGCATTTTATCTCGCTGAGGAATGCCCCATCCCACTCGCATCCGGCATAAAGTATCTGAAAACGAGACACTGTTTTTTTTGCTAGTAGAATGGTTATGTAACACAAGCTGTATTTGCAGATACTTTACAGTGCCGCACAATACCGGAGCCATACAGCTCAACAGTTCCATGCCGTGGCTATCGGTATCTGAGCTCGGCGCAATTTAAGCAATTCATGCATATCCTCTCTTATCTCCCGCCAATTGGCAGGGGCGGATTACCGTGAGCGCTCGGACGCTTATCGCTGGCACAACCACTCACTCAGGCAGCTGGGTTAGGGTATAATACACTGATAAGGATGCAGGAAGGCGTTGTGGGGTCGGAGATCTAAGTTACACCATCGAACGTAGTAAGCGTTCCTTCTGGCCCGCCAGGATCATTCCTTCAACCGCTTCTGCAGGGACCGTAGGCTATTCGCGAGATTATTGACCTAAGCTTACATGGACCGTTCGCTGGCCCTGCCAGGGGAACAGTCTGCAATGCTCATGCCTGTTTGCTTGGAGTGAGCATAGTTAAGGGTGGATAGCATACATATTACCCAGTGCGGCCATTCTCAGCTCACTGGCCCCTGCGCTGGTGGCAGAAGACAATGCCGGCAGACATCTCTGGTAACGGGATACTTCATGAGAGGCCTCGCTACACAACGACCGCAGCCTTGCTTGCAATGCGATCCGACTCCTCCCCCCCATCCTGCTGACGCGTTCTCACTGCCCCAGGGCGGGTTGCGTTGGTAAAGATGTTGGTTTCGGTTGGTCTGCACCAGGGCGGCTAACATTCGGACGAAGGGGATTTTCGCTAGGTTTATTCGGCTTTAGAGATAGGTCGGCGCGATGTCTTTGATTCCTTCGAGGAATGAAATGTTTACATTTGGGGAGAGTTTGTGCGAGTGCAAGGGTTGCAAAAGACTGTTCTAGCGTCCTGGGTTTGTTCCGAAGTGGCGGTTATATTTGGTAGGCGAGACAGGATGAGATGTGTTCGAGCCAGTCGATTTGTTGAGGAGGGTGTATCTGAATCGTTCGTTCCTTAGCCAAGTCCCCGATAAGTTACGCTGTGGACGGGAAGGCATCGATCTCGCCGGCACATTCGCTATACCCCCCAACACCAACACCGGCGTTCGCAACAAGCCGGTCAATCCGCTTCTCCTTCTCCTTCTCCTTCGATCCTGCTCACACCGCTATACTTGCAGCTCCTCCTTTCATAGCTTGCTATGCTCACCGATCCATGACGGGGGAATTTGGACTCCTTTTTTCGGCGGCCATGCGACGATGCCAAAGCCGGTGACCAATGTCACTCTGGTGCCAGGAATATCTCGGAATTAGGAAAGCCACCACGGGAGGCTGAGTGGAGAAGTTTTCCCGATTGTCTCGGTTCCTTAGTTTTGGTGGGGGTTTTGGCATCCCCCCTGACGGATATGAGAGCCTTTGCGCTTGCGGTACATGAATAGTTTGCATCACTGATCCGGAGTAGGTAATTCCGAGGTAAAGATATTACGGCCCCCTTGCTACTCGAGTAGATTGTTCGAGTTCCAATTATCCCTGCTGGAGATAACATTGTTTCGCCAACACCCAAGATTTAGGTCATCAATACACACCGTAGTATAGGTAGCCTCCATCCACGGAAATAGCTGCATGTCAAACATTCTGACGGACGTAAGCTTGGCGATTCCCGTGGGAGGGCAAAGTTGGATGAGTTGGAAGAGAAGGAGAGGGGAGAAGAAAAAGCAAAAAGAATGGATGAGCAACGGTGGAAGCGGCGATGGAGAAGCCCAGAAAACCGGAGACCGAGAGGATGTGGAATGTGGCTGGGGGTGATTTAAAGTGCTTGAATGCGAGCACCTCTACGGTGGCTGTGCCTGTACCGGATCTGAATGCAGTGCCCATGGTACGTAGTCTGCCGGTACGGGTGTCGTAGGATGCGACGATACTAGCGGCCGAGGTGTGCTTTCTAGGCCGGCAAGATACCTTCCCACGACAATTGATTCCCCCTCGCAGTGGGATACCGATCACGGGGGCCTACTCGGATGTGCGGTGCCCACCTTTCACCTCCCATTCTCGCATACGAGGCACTGTATCGCAGCAAAACTCCAATTCGCCACATACCGTATGTGTACATGTACAGTACCCAGTAATTTACCGGCTCCTCGCACCGGTGCCCGTAGAATAAAATGCCAAGAATGTTTCCATCCGGTCCACCCTCGCCGGACCGATCCCTACAGGTCCGATGGGGAAAAAATGGGCTGTTGAGAAGGGATGAGAATCCATGTAATTGCTTTTTGGAAAAGGCGATTACGATGACGTTTGTTTTGCGCGGTATCGAGGATTTCGTTCCTTATTTTCTCTCCTGCTTTCTTTTTCTTCTCCTCACGATCATGATGATTATGGTATGATTCGGGCAAGGATCCAGGTTACCTGGCCCCGCCACGCCACGCCACAGAGGACCGGCCGCGGCTTGAGAACGGGCAAGGGAAGGGAAGTTTTTGTTCTCGCATCTGTGGCCATCTGTGGCGGTTCGACCGTGGTTTATGGACAAAGTTTTTTCTTCACCGGTGGGCTCTACTTGTATCTGATCGCTAAGTGAACTGTGATACCGTACAGGTACATACAACTTGATACCTACCGGAGCATACTGTAGAGCACTGTAAGCCCTTCTCCGCCAAAGTTTTCACATACCGGCATGAGTCAGAAGGAAAGCTCTACTCTCTACGGTACTCGAGTAAGGGGTTTTTTTTATTTTTATTTTTTATTTTTTAACTCGGTACTGGTACTTGCACTCGTAATAAAGTCGGCATCCGGTACCTCTTGCTTACGGTACTGTACTGTAAATTTCCAGTGCTCCACCCAAGTTCCCAACTTTATGGCCGAGAACTTCCAAACCATCCAGCCCAACAGGCGGGAACGTGGCGATCGCCATAGCACCATTCGCGAGTTCCATTTCGCTTTGGACCACCTTTTGGGTACGGCACGGTGACGGTGGTGGTGACACACGCTGTTGAACCGTGCCCAGCTTAACTAGTTGCGTAAAAATAGCATAGGTGATTAATCGCATCATACAGTACTGTACGAGTATCATACTGGCAAGCTCACCCTCATACACACACTCGATAACTATTTAGTTGGTATGTAGTAGAATGAAATTAGGTTGACACACACACAGGAGCTCCCCAAATGAAATGATTGATCTTTTATTTTTTTTTCCGTCAAACCGGTCATGTGTTGGAGTTGCTTTGACGCTTGAATGCTGGGTAACAACTCACGATGCCTTCTCCCGGGCGGAGCTTGGTTTTTACGGCGCTCGTGCGGTGGGGATGGGAGCACGAGAGGCACGGATCGAGGAGGTTAATACGTAAGGGAATGCAGATGGGGTTGGCGGTGGTGTCTGTTACAGGTAAAGGAGGGTACATGCGGGAAGGTTTGTGGGTATCGTGTGTTTTTCTTTTCTTTTTTCTCCTCCGGACTCGGAAGATGATGTAGTGTAGTGTATCGTAGTGTGTTGCGAGGGGGAGGGTGAGGGGGGAGGTTGGCGGAATGCACAGCGAGAGATATGGCAAAGAGGTGGCCTGCACTGTACATGTACTCGAGTATAGTACGCAGTATACGGTACTGGCACCGAGGGGGTGAATGGAACTCCACGGTGCTCTGCCGTGAGTTACTGCTCTACCGGCAGAGTGCCGGCTTGATGTTGTCCCTGATTGAACAGTACGAGCACAGCTCCGGTACTCCAGTATGCGGACTTCAGTGGATGGTGCAAGTATCGGGATTCTGGAAAGACTCCTCGTGACGGATTCCAATCCCCCGTAGAAGGTAAGTGAGAAAAGGAATGGGAATCTCCTTACGGAAGGGAATCGAACGACTGCGTCTATATTTCTCCTTCAATCCCCTTCGCATCCATGATCCATCCCCTCCAGCCCTGCCCGCCTCTGCCTGCCCGTCCAAGTTACCTGCTTCCTCCCGTCTTCCTTCTTCCTTCCGCCGAGCCAGCGAAAAGAAGGTCAATGAATGGGTTCCTGACATTCAGCCTTTCCACGGGTGCTTTTTTCTTTTTCCTCGTCCCTATTTTGTGGGGAAGACATGGGCTATGCCTCAGCCGATGGATCATACTGTACGGTACTCGAGTCGAATCTGGAACACCTCTCTGTGCGACAGGGATTATGTAACTCATGGTCCGAACGGGCGCGTGCACCTCAAAGGTTGTTGTTTTCCCTGTTTTTCCTTTTTTTTTTTTTTTTTTGGCTTCACATCTAAACAGAGAAGGGGAAGCAAAGGTGGCATCCGGTTCCGGAAGGATTATAAATGCCAAGATGGATGAGGAGGTATTATGTCATTCTCCACTTTTTTTTTTTTTTTGATACAGGTACTTTTCCTTGGGTTCTCCATTGGAGGTGAATGGAAATGGAGAACCGGAGCGAAATCTAATGGATAGAAGGGGGGTGAAATTGTTGGAAAGGGGAGGAAAAAAAAAAGAGAACCATCCGGTCGGGCCATGGCAGGAGGAGAAGAGAGGGGAGAGGCAGACAAGATGCGGGCAAGGGGCACCACTCCTCTTGCCGGTACGGTACTTGAGCTGTACAACCATTTGAGAAAGATCACCCATTGGCCCCTTTCTCCCGCAATACCGCAACAACGCCTAAACTCCACTCGACAACCTCGCATCAGACCCCATCGTGGCGAGAACAAGACCGTAACTTACCGCACAGCAGCTGCTCCTACCCACCTGTGCCTGTTCGGGTACGGGGATTGCCAATGTCTGGACGAGACGAGTCAGAAAGCGAGAACCGAGCCCCCTGCTTACCCCGGACGGCGTCTCTCACTCTCGCGTAGGCCCGCCGTTAGGGGCAACGGTTTAGTCAAGCTCAACAAAAATGCGTGCCATCATTACCGGTCTTTGATCTTGCTCTAAGCTCGACCTTTTTTTTTTTTTGGTCTTGTCTCGTCTCGTCTTCCGCACCCGGTTACTATGGATGGTTTGGGGTGGTGGTGGTGGTGGGTACTGTAGCATGCTAATTACGTTTTTGCAGGAACGCATCGTGACATGGAGTAAGGATTCGTCGTCTCCCTTCGGTCATAAGTCCAGTGCACTTTGCCAGGGGGAAAACTAGCCTGGAGGAAGGGGAGGGACCTGTGGCTGGTGGTAGCTAGCTATAAAACCTCAGAGCGTCCCATCGGTGCACTACTCTAGCACTGACTGAGTTCGACTATATGCCCACTCACCTACTTGTTCATACCTCTTCATACTACGCCTCTTCCGTACCGTAAGATTTGTTTGATATCGACGCGTAATGCCGTCAATCGAGGACCTCCCCTTTGAGATACTCTCAGAGATTCTCTCCATCGCCGCCCGGTTAAACTCCACCGACATCCCCAGCTACACTTATGGACTTACGCAGGCGCAGAGGACGTTGCAGAGGACGCAGACACAGATATACCTCCGTGGACGGACAACGCCGGACCTGCTACGCTGGCACTTGGTCAACAACTTCCGTCTTGTGAATTCGAGATGGCACGAGTGGGCCTTGGGATATGCCATGAAGGAGATGTACGTCCGGAAGTGGAGCGGTGGTGAGCGGTATGATGCCCGATCTTGACCCGCTGTCAACTGCATATAGCTTACGAATTGTCATGGTAGCTGGCTATACAAGAGTACCGAGGAGCAAACCCGAAGTTCCGCCGCCGCCGGTGTATTCCCGGTGGTCTACCAAAACCCGTACGCTTCCGTGCAGTCCACCGTATCGCTCCTCCGCGATTACCCGCATATCGCACAGCATGTCCGCAGGGTTTGGTTCAGCGGGATCCACCAGTTCGACACGAGCAGATACATCTTCGACACACTCGGAAATTGCACCAACCTGCGCACAGCCGCCATACCATGGACCTCATTACGTTACGGGACGGAGGAGGACTGGAAGAACTTGATGTCGTTTCCCCGATTGACGAGTATCGAGCTCTTGGCGGTGGATCTGAAGGACTCGCTTGCTTCTGCTGAACTCAACCACACGAATAATAACGTCCTTCCAACGCTGGACTTTTCACGGATCGCGAGGTTAAAGATATTTGGGGACTCAAACCTCTTGCCCATTACCGATGACGACCTAATCACTATTTCCCGTACCGCGACGTCCCTGCAGGAAATCCACATCACCAGTTCCACCTCGATCACTATCAAGGGCCTTGCAGCATTGGTCTCGGCATCGCGCGCATCCCTAAAGCTCTTGGAATATAAGCCCCTCTCCGACTCGGGCTTCACTTACCCTTCCTCCGTCGAGTCCGACCCGCAGATCCACTTTTGCGCGCTTTTGTCTTCGTGTCCCAAACTCGAAGACGTAGCCATCACTCTCCCGACCGCGTGTCCGGAGCTGTTCTCGCATCACTCTGTCGCCTGGCACGAGACTGTTCGCCTCCGCATTGCCGCAAGCGGTGTATGTCGTTTCCCAACGGTCGACGGGAACATCACAGAGTTCAATCGGCTTCTAGAAAGCGCACGGGAGCTTCTCGCCGTGAAGAAGGACCTCGGCGTCGAGATCTCCGTGGGCAAGTTTCTATTCGACACAAAGACACGCTTAGTTCATGGGAATTATAAGAGTGCCAAGGTGGCTAGCGAGATGGGGTGGGGACCCAGGGAGCACGTCTCGCTCAAGGGACCGTACGGCGCTACGGGGTTGTACGGGGATGACGACGTCAAGGGCGAATGGAGCGCTATTTCCGAAGACGAATTTTGGGATGGGATGAGGTGGGGGTTTCTCAAGTTTGATGGTTGATTTAGTTGGCAGCGTCTGCTTAGTCCGAGCTTAGCTGTCTGAGTAGTGGGAAGAGTGTTTACTAAAATTGGTGTTGGAAACGGAACTGGAAAAGCGGGTGTTCCTTTTGTTTTTTGTTTCATTTTGCTATTGCTATGGGTTGTCAGTTCGCGCTACGATGTTTGATCGACGTCGTGGCCCCGTGTCTGTACAATTATCTAGCGCGCTAGGAGTTTTCTTTCCTTCACAATCACCTCATGGAGTGAGGGGGGGAGTCTTGAGGAATTGAATTTCTCTTTTATACCAGTACCGGTATTCTCTTTCTTGGATGTATAGTACGTACCAGCATAGTAAAATAGGAAAGTGCAGCGATTAGGTTGGTTTAACCATATCTGCCGTGCTCCTTTCTCCTTTCTGCCCTCTCCCTGTCCTCTCCCACCGACAAACAACGGAGCGTTCCCGAAAGGCCTGGCAGAAGGTGTAGAATGATGGGAAAGACGGAGAGACCGATACACCCAACATTACCCCCGACCCGGCGGAAGATCCGGAAGCAAGCTCCCCGCATGATCACCACCACATCCTTAGGAGATGTGCGGTATATCCGCAAGTGCAAGACCAGCCACACAATCCCAGCAAAACCTTTCCGACGCCCTCCATTATAGCCCAACCACCCCGCAGAGCACTTTACGATACCCCGCCTGCCCAAGGTCTCGCTCTCCCGCCCGCCCGTACTTTTTTTTTTCTTTCGAAAAAATACCGCACTTCATTCCTTCTGCCGGCAGTAACTGCGGAACCCACGAGAGAGCCGGACCGGCCACACATTACCACACCTTTTGAGTGTTTTGGCGCTCACGGTGAGGGAGGCGGTGGTACCAGATCCACTGGGGTTCGGATCTTAATGAGTTGGAGGCGGGCGGATGAGTGGAGTGCTTGAGGATGGGCGTGTTGTATTTCATTGTGGGCATCGTGTTTGGATTGTGTTTGGGTTCCGTTTGCTGTAGAGGGTTTTTGGGAGCGCTGTATGGGGGTTATGTTTCTGGATATATCCTAGTATGATATCGTATGTATCGTATGTCTTTTTGGCGGGGAACCGGTTGCGGCTTTTGTGATTGTTGGTCTATGAGATTCCCACGAGACGGTGGGACGGTCTATGTCGGCGCGCGGGGTTTCGTGCGGTGGTGGTGATTTTGGAGACGGGTATTCGGTTCAATCTGGTTTGGAGGGAAAATGCTGGTTTTTTTTTTTTAGTCACTGGGGAAGGGGTGGAGGATTTGCAGGGTCGTATCATACGAGTACTATATCTTGGGGTGTGTCCGTGCGTCATGGGTGATCACTCACTTACACTGTTGTTTTTAGTGCTTCTCCGCCAAACAGACTAGTTTTCTGTACCAAGTTCAAACATGCCATAACCATGGTAATAGTTTCTTCTTATCATCCAAAACCCTTCCGAAGTTCTCATAGCTTCTCTTCTCTTCCGAGGTCTTTCTAGATTCCTTCCCTTCTTCCGAGGCTCTCATATTGCCAACCTTTAGGTTTCCGGTATTTCTTTTTTTCCTTTCTTTCTTTTTTAGTTTTTCAGCTTAGCATAAAACCCCACAGCTGCTCATGTGGGGAAGGGAATCAAGCTTTGCTTTCGATAGCAGTCATATCAATTTGCATCTTCTATGCTTTGTCACTAGATCTGGAAGTATGTATGATATTTTGCTGATTTACCGGATCCACTACTGAAGAGCATCTGGCCATGTAGGATTTCATCCTTACAAATGTGGTGGCGTGGTTTCGTGCTCGCCTGAGTCTTTTTAATTTTTTTTTTCCTATTCGTGAAGCAGTAACTAACCATCTAAGCGGTAGCGGTCGATCCATCTCAGTCACTGTTGACAGAGATCCAAGCAAGAACTCTGCGCAATCTGGAAGTAATGACATCACCGGAAACTCTTAAACACTAGGATATCAAAAACCGTCACAGGGCAACTGCGTAAGTGGGAGAGTTAGGCACCGGTAGTAAAAAGTACTGTCTTGTATAGCCATAGCATGTGCTATGATCAACCTCTCCAACCGGACACAGACACAACACAACTCTCGCCCTCCGTGCCATCTGTTGGAATGGAATTCCTGGGGTATGACGGTTGGTATATCTATACTCTGCCATGAGGCTTTGATTCGGAGATTCCCCTCAAGGTGGGTTAGTGTGAAATTGTGCGTCCTTCATCATGCTGGTACGATTATTGTGCTGCGAATTGGGATACCCTCGTAGGATTTGGTGAACGGGGAGGCAATTTTGCCCTTCTGGTGGATTATTAGGTGGTGCGGGCCGCAGCACACTCGGTGTGGCACCGCACTATTATGGATCTGGTAAGTATGTGTATGGGCTAGTGAGGCTGAATGGTTTATATTAATTCTCATACCCCCTTGCTATAATAAAATGGTATCCTGAAGCAACTTAATTTTCAATAAAAACTGAGAACAAAATTAAGAATTTATAAAAAACTACTCATTAGTACACTATCCACTCTAGTCAGTCCAGATATAATTACTGTCATAGTGGGGAAATGAATTCTTGAAATATGAATCTGACTCCTCTATGGCAGTAGATGCTACCACTTATCCTGCTTTTTAAAGAAGGTAATAACTGTAGGAAATTTATTACTTGTGAAGTCCCTACTATGGACAATAATAACACTATTATCCTCCTTTAATTACCTTCTTGCATTGTCAAATGAATACTAGATATGATATATTTCATCTTTAGTTGGTTCAGTTTGACCTCTCCTTTCCTTGTAGAGAATTGTAGTAAATCCTTCAAACAGGGACAGCTTATTAAGACTCTTTCTTATTCCAAGTCCAGGGAGGATATGTTGCTCTAGTAGTATAATGGGGACGCTTCTAGGAATATGGGTGCTAAGGATATAACTGTACCAAACTTCAAACTTTACAAACAGAGCTCTTGCAGATGTAAATGAATAAAATAAACAGTAGAACTTAATATCATTAAGCTGAAGCTTTACTCAATTAAGATCTGAGTCTTGAGAGAATATTGGTTGTATTAGGGTATGAGAGCTATTGTATAATCTTTTAAGTAGTTAAACTCATATCAGAAACTCTCCTATCAGATTACCCTATTCAGTAGAAGTATTATTATACAAAGAAGCATGATTGGTATGGCATGTAACTAAATATTTAAGGACATGTATTCAACTCCAGGTTCTGCTATAGTTATTATAATGATAAGATATTATTGTACAAAATGATGAGGCATCTCTGCAACCCTTTCTAGGTAAATGCAAGGCATGTGACTGAGGGGTTTTCACTGGGTAACATAGAAGAAGTTCTACCATATGAGATAAGACTTAGTTGGTTTGAATTGGTTAGTTACTAATTATGGCACTATAACTATAGTAAGTCTATAAACTGTTACTTGTAGGATATAAGAAGTAATATACTAGCAAAGGTCTCCTAAGCTTATGTGAACAGGAGTTATCTAGAAACTTGTTCACAATTGGTTGATGATAATGAATAAATCACTAGTTGGTTAGAAGTATTTCTGCATCATGCAATCTAAGCTATACATATAAAGATACATTGATAAGTCTATTGACAGAGCTAATCACTCTATCTAGGATGAGAGTATGGTAGTTAGTTTTCAGGGTCAAAAGGAGTTTGTACTCCTGAGGCACTGAACTGTTAGTATAGTAGGTACATAGTTAGTAATAAATTTGATGTACCTCATGACTGTCCAGATGTGGAATGTAAATATCAAGGTGCCTCTTTTGCTTTAAGACCATCCTCCGTCTCCGCTACACCTCTGGCGATTGAAAACTCAACACCATGGTTTCTATCGTGGCTTTCATCGTTTAGCACCACCACCCCCCCCCATCTCCCTCCATCTAGCCTCGGCTACAGGAGGTGGGCTTGCTTCCCCTCTCCCGTGAGGTCCTGATTTATTTCTTGATTCTCTGGGCTCCATCCCTGGTTGGGGTCTTTCATCTTCGTGATGTTCCTCCCCTTCCTACCCCACCTCGCTTAGGCGTTGGCACAGTCGGCAACCCCTTTTCCACCAATAGCAGACGGCCGGGACTACAGTTGCAGTAGGAGAGAACAGCTTTCAGGCTTCGGTCGATCTCTCCATTGTCTTGCTTCCCTAAGAGGCTGCCTAGTCGGACACGAACGCGGTTACCGATAGCTGTTGCTCACGGGCTTGGGTCTACCCCTCCTCTTCTCTTTGGGGCCTCTTTGGCTGGCGGGTGGTGGGATCCCTTCCACTACAGTGACGCTATCTCTCCCAGAACAAGGGACTACATGAGAGACGCGGTAAAACACCTGCTTCGCTTAGGGCTCCTCTCCACGGTCGGATCGGCTGGTACCCTACTACCACCTCCTCTCAAGCTGGCACCTTACTGCCACAATCGTCGAATGTCCCGGAGGGCACACGGTCGCTGGCACGCCTGCCACATACCTCCTCTCCTTTCTTCTCGGTCGCCGCCTTCGGGGTGGTTTCCCTTATACCCTCTGCGCCCGGGGCTTCGGCTCCCTCCTCCTGGCCCTCGTCATATGGCCTAGGGGTTCCTATGATGGATTTGAGTTGTGGCCATTGGCCTCTAGTGGGTTCGGTTTGGGTTTCTGCCTTTAGGTGTTTCGTTCTTGGGGTTGGGCAAGTTCTTGGTTCACTGTCGGGTAGCTAGCTTTCTTTTGTCGCTTGGCGGTGGGGGTTATTGGTTCGTAGTTTACGGGAAGGATTTCGGGCGGGAGTAGTTTTTTCTACCTTAGAGGGTTTTTTTAGCTCTGTCGTTCGGCCTGGTCCGGGGGGGGGCGGTTTTTTAGGCGTCATAGCTAGCGCTCCATATGCCTTTTTGTCCCATAAACAAATAATAAAATGAGTCAAACAAAAAAAACAAAAAAAAATCTTTTGCTTTAAGACATCATCAGCAACTGGAGAAGAGATCTTATCAATATATTCATTCTACTTTGAAACTTCTATCTTACAAGCCTTCTTAACTTGAACTATCTCTAAGACAGAAGACTATTGGGCCTAGTGTATACTTGCTTGTCTTTAGAGCTACCTACCCCCTAACCTGTATGTTATGATTAAAGCAAAGTTCAAAGTATATTTGGTTTGACAGAAAACTGAAATAGAAAAGAAAAAAGAAGTACTGTCAGAACAATGACTGCTGTTTTCTAGGTAATGGGTGTGGTTTTAGTGAGAAGCCTATGTACTTCCAGTTTTCAATTTATATCCGGGAATCGGGCTCGGCTTGGTGGCTATCGTCCCCTTCAGTTCAACTATGTATCATACTCGAATACAAGTAGAAGAGTCAAGATAGTAATATAGTCCAAATTTCTCAAGAAGCACTGTCATAGGTTCTTCCGCATTTTTCTGCTCACTCTTGCACCTAATGAAGGAAATATGCGGTCCTCCG